CAAGTCATTGAGCTCAAAGTTCTCCGTGTTTGAGACTGAACTAAAAGACGTTCTTTAGACCCAAACCTAGACTTCTAATGTCTGAAGCAGTTGTCTAAATCCACAAGAACCACAGGTTGGACTTCTCAGCTGCTTCTCAGATCCCTCATTTCCTGTTCACATTCTTCACTTCCTGTCCACATCCCTCACTTCCTGTCTACACCCTTCACTTCCTGTCCACATCCCTCACTTCCTGTCTACATCCCTCACTTCCTGTCTGCGACCCTCATTTCCTGTCTACACCCTTCACTTCCTGTCCACATCCCTCACTTCCTGTCTACATCCCTCACTTCCTGTCCAGATACTTTGGTTTGACTGACAGGAAGTAACGCTTATTGTTAACTTTATTTACTGTGTGACGTCTGTCTGAGTTGACCCATTTTTATCAGACGCTGACCTCTGACCCTGGCTTACAGCTATACTGGTCCCTGAACAGTGAGACAGGCCGGAGGTCCAAACCTTCAGGTAGAGAAACAACTTCCTACTGAAACAGGAAGAGTCTGAGGAGTTCAACTCTGCTTAGAATGGTCAGGTACATGAACTGGACTGAAACCGGGTCAAACCAGAACCAAGGTCCAAGCAACAAACAGAACCCTTAAGGTGGACTGCAGAGTCCAGACCACCTTAAGAGACACCAGGAAGGTTTGGATCCCAGGAGGAGCAGAAGATTTTCACTGTGTGTGTGTGTGTGTGTGTGTCTGTGTACTCTTGGTCTGATAAGCAGTTAGCCCTACTTTTCTTGGACTCTGCTAATAGGATTCCCTCACCATCCCCTCCTCCTCCCAGCATGCATCATTCAGGGGCTGACGCACGCACGCACGCACGCACGCACGCACGCACACACACGCACACACACACACACACACACACACACACACACACACACACCTTTGCATGCAGACACATGTGCAACTGTAACCTTACCTGAGTGTCCTCTGTCCTTACTGCTGCAGTGACGACTCCTGTGTTGCCGTGGTAACCTCCATTTCCTCCTTCCTCTCCTCAGTAACCTGGTCGTTCTCGTCCTCTTCGTCCTCCTCTTCCTCTCTGAACACTTGTTGTCTGCAGCAGAGCCGGCTCATCGTGGATTTACAGACTCCTCCTCTACGTCCTCTTCCTCCAAATGATGCTAGCCCCGCCCACCTTCCCTCCAGCCAATGAGCAACTGAGTTGGCTGCTTCAGCCAATGACTGGGTAGATGTGGTGGGGCTACAGACCTGATCAGGAAACATAAACACTCTTATCAATGAACTGTGAAGTCACCGTGCTGCATTCTGATTGGCTGAGGGCGCCTCACCAGGCAGAACCAATCAGATGCAGGCTTGCAGGCTGGCACCAATCAACCCAAATCGAGTCCCTGATTGGTCAGAATGAGACGCTACTGACCACACCAGCAGAAAGCAAGCTTACCTAAGCTGAGCTGAGGTCAGAGGTCACTGAAGAAAGCTGGAAGTGAAAGCAGTTGTCAGGTTGGTGGCTGCTGGTTTCTGCAGAACATCTGATCCCAGATTAACCTTCTCACCAGGGTCACCGGGGTCACCTGGAGCTGCTGGCAAACTCTGGTTACTATGGTGACTCCCTCCTTTTAGGCGCAGCAGGGGCTCATTTGGTTCTGATTGGTTCTTCTGGACGATAGTTGAGTCGTCGCCGTTTGGATTGTTATTCCCTCTGGTCCTGGATGCTTACTTTCACCCAGTTGTTATGACGCGTAACCATAGCAACAAGGTATGTTGTTATATTTTTACATCACCTTATCAGCATCTCAAAAACTGAAATTACACCTGAACTTTGACCCCAGATCCTGAGGAGCTTCATGGTTGCAAAAAGACAAAGGACATTAAAAACCATCTCTAACATTTTTCTATCCAGACAGATTTAAAGAGGAGCAGCAAAAGCAAAGGAAGTGGATCAGCAGAGCAACAAGAATCTGGTTTCTGCTGCCAGAGCCTTTTTCTGATTCGCTGCAGCACTGACTGCTACAGGAGATCCTTCCTGCCCACAGCATCACCATCCACACCGACTCTTAAAGATAACACAAGATCATTTACCTTTGGGATAAACAAAAAATTGATCAAATAAATTGAATAAAAGCTGAAACTAAAACTTTAACAGAAATTTCCCCCAAAAATGAAGTTGAATATTGGACAATTAAAAAACAACACAATAAAAGATTTAAACAGGAACAGCAAATAACTGTAGAATTACCTGAACTAATGATAATTTAGGTGAAATCAGTGAGAGCAGCAGGTGAGGAAGAGGAGGAGCAGCCTCAGCTCTTCCTCTGACTGGACCCTGAAACCAGCTGAGCATTATGATCAGAACCAGTCTTTATTAAACACTTCCTGTGGTCATCAACAGCTCGTCTCTGATTGGCTGAGCTCGGACTCGGCGTGTATTGATCTGACTCAAACTGTCCTCTATAAGGTCACTGGACCTCCTGCATCCCAGAACCAGGCGGATGGAACCGGTCCAGTTCGGCATCTTTCTATAAATACCATCTGTCTTATTTGTTCATTCATTATTAGAAATACCATTTTAAAAACGAAACTCCTCTTTATGCTCCATTAACAGTCGTGTCGCTTCTCAGCTGGATTCGGGAGCAAATATCTCCTTTCAGAAACTGGGCTTTTTATTATTTTACAGTAATATTCGGAACCGAGCTGCACTATGTGTGCCGTTTGACATTATTCTGTCTAATAAAAGTGTGTTTTATGATTCGGCTGGCAGTTGATCTCTGAATGCTCAACTTTAATGCGGACATTTCCAGGAACTCCTGGTTGTTGCTGGAGGCGCTCAGCAGGGTGGACCGTCTCTTCAACAACACCAGGGTTTGAAAAAGTGGGAATGTTACTTCCAGAAAAAGTTCTTTAGTGCAGTTAAATCAGCGCCGAATTGTTCAGGAACAACTTTTATACCGACCCAGACTGCAGCGGAGGTCTGCCGCAGGTCTAATCCAGTAAACACGAGAATAAACTGAAATCTTGATGTCTTTTAACCGAGTTCCGCGCAGCGGTGTCTTACCTCCAGCAGCGGACAGAAGCTGGGGGCTCAGCAGCCCCTAGAAGAAAACAGAAGTACGGATATGGACTCGCCCTGCAGGTCCATCCCCGGTACTGGTGTCGGTACCGCTCAGAGAGGGTAGCTGGGGCAATAACGGTAATCTGCGTTGCCTCGCGGGGAGAAAGAGCAGAAACCCGACTGAGAACGGGAGGACGGCCCGTTGGTTCCGTTTGGTGCTCCGCTTGCCCTCCGCTTCACTCTTTAATCAAATTTTTATTTGATTTTATTGATATTTTCCAGGCAGCTGCTGCACTTTAGTTTACCTTCTCCACGGTGACTTCAACTTCCGCATCGTTTGAGTGACGTAGCGTAACGTCAGGCTAGACCAACCAATCAGAGAACAGGAAAAATGTTTTTAAAGAGAATTTAATTTTTGTTTAGAAAACTGATTCTTGAGCGAAAAGTTACAAAAACCTTTGATTGTTTTCAGGAAGCAATTCAGAGTTTATTGAAAATTAACATGTTTGGATTCATAACAGCTTAATAATTCATATTTAACTTAAATCCGCCTATAAAAGTGATCCTGGACCGTTTTCCGATGATCTGAATCTGGATTATTTTCCTCCTGCTGAACAGTAAAAGCAGCCCAGCCTTCAGAAAGCTGCAGTTCCTGCTGAGCTCCAACAGGGGGCGCTCATTCCCAACTACAGGATCTGTCTGGTTTTAAACAGAAGATCTTCAAGGAACGGCTCATGTGTTGAGACCTTTGTCCTCATGCCAGTGGTCGCGGGTTCGATTCCCAGCCTGGCGACATTTGCTGCATGTCTTCCCCCTCTCTTAAAACCTCTTTCCTGTCGGACTACTTTCGGATGAAGGCCACTAGAGCCAATAAAACAAATAACTTTATATACAAATGGGTAAAATAAAAGAATAATGTGTGCCTTTTAAGATAAACACTACCATTTTTTTAACGTGCAAAAATATATTGAAATATATTTAGTAAAGGGTCTGTTACAGCAAAAGTAAAAATATAACGGAGGATCTGCTTAAATTTCTGAAGAGTTTCTGATTATTAAAATGAAGAGGCAGTGTATGTTTTTGTCAGATTCTTTGAAATGATTAAATGGGGTTTTTCACTCCATTTCTTATTGTGGACATCATATTTTGTTAGAATTATACTTATATTTATTACATATTTAATTTGAAGAAAAGCCTGAATTACTATGTTATGATAAAATAAAACTTTATCTTATTTACTGTGAAGAGCAGAACATCTCTGCGTATGTGTTTTTCTGCTCCTGATCTCATCTGCAGCCTGTGACCGAAGAGACGCTACAGAGAATCGCTCAAGTTTCACCTCTTCCTCTTCTGCTTCTCTCTTAATCTCTGAGAATAAATGATTTTCCTCTTAATCTGATTTTCTAAATAAAATGTGCATAATTTCTCTGACTCAGTGTTTTACTATTGGCTCATGAGAAAATTATTTTACAATTAAAAACAAGGAATATTTGCAATTTTGATCAAATAATTTTCTTTCCAAATATTTCTGTCAGGATTTTTTGCAGATCCGACCCAAAATGTCTCCGTCTGGTTTTATCATCAGAACCTCAGCCGGCTCTTCCTGCTGCTCTGGTGATGTCACCGTTTACCTGACCTGGGTTCGCCTGGGGGTCACCGGGTCACTGCAGCTTTCTGGTCGGGCCTTAAAATCTGCATTTTAATGAACAACAAAGTATCACAATATGCTTTTATGAAATATAAATTATATTAAAATTTTCCTTAGTGAAGCTAAACTATGAAATGAACCGGAGCTTCATAACTTCCTCTGACCGTCGCTCTGCCTGGTTCTGGTCGGTGTTCTGGAGCCTGCTCCCCAATCTGCAGGGATTAAAAACCTCGACTGACTCAGAATCACCATCAACCTTCAGATATCAGAGTTTATTCTGATCATTCGCTGCACCAATAATCAATATTGCTTCACGTTTCTCTAAGACGATCTCAGGACCTCCAGTTTTATCTGCTGACCCTTTGAGGCCCAAGGCCCCCATGTTGGACATCATGGTATACAAATATGAAAGTTGAAAGTTTTAAACACTGAGATGATTCATTTCCGTTTCAGCAGCAGCTTTGATCTCCTCATTAATATTGATCAGAAAGATCAGATCAATATTGTTTTCAGATTCTCTGTGAAACAGATCATCGGCTGACAAAATCAGCTTCATCTCGTCCTGCTGGCAGACACGTACGGGCCGGTGACGTCACCTGGTGAGAATGACCGAAACGTCATGGCTCACCTGGAGGCCCCGCCCCAAGGCTTTATAACGAGGCGGCCAGGTGAGGGGGGCAGACCGCAGGAAGCAGCGCTCTGGTCGGATCGGACCTCCAGGATTTGGTGACGATGCTGCAGATGAACGAGTCGGAGCTCCAGCTGCGGCTGGTGGCGTTCAGCTTCGAGACGCGCTTCGATGAGCGCGGAGCGATCCAGTGGATGCAGGAGAACTGGTGAGAGCTGCTCTTCTTCTTCTTCTTTTCTGCTGCTGCTCTTCTTCTCTCGGGTTCCCCAGCGGGTGAGGGTCAGGAGAAGGAACATCTACCTTTAAAGTTCCTGACTCCATTAAGAATCTCCACTTCTTTAAATAATACTGACTTAAATTTAGAACACTACATCCATCTACAATGATTCAGGTGGTTTAACTACCGACCCAGTCCAGACTTTGTTTCGGCTGACCCACTCGGAACCGAGAAGTCCGTATTAAGGCGCAGTTTCACTGAAACCGGTCTGATTTAATAGAAACTGCTCCAATGAATCCGTTGCTATAGCAACACAGTCAATAATCCTCTCGTGTGTTTTCTGTTTATGGGGCTGCTGGGGGTCTTTACAGGTCCATTTCTCAAGCCGAATGGAGGAACTGACGTCACTATTTCAGATAAATATTAAATATATTTTAGTAATTGAGGCTGAGAACGGAACTGTCTAAAATCTGGAAATGCCCCCGATTTATGAATGAAGTTCGGTGCTGAACGGATTAAAGGGGCTGGACTGAGTCAGCCTGAGGCGTTATGTAAGCACGTGCGGTCAGAGGAAGGCGGCGGCAGGTGAGGCGCCGTTACGTCACTGACCCGGTATGTGATTATTCGTGGATCCGGTCGGACCGGTTCCTGTCCGGAATGCAGTCCTGATGAAACCTGGACGGAACGTACTGGAATGACCGATCCGCCGGAAGTACATCAAAACATGTTTACAATGTTGGCTACGCCTCAAGTTTGTCGAGAAGTCGCGTGATGGTGTTTGACAGGATTTTGTCCAACATTTTTTCATGGACAGAACCACCAAAACTTGGATCTGGTCAAAAGCGGGTCGTGTTTGAGAACCTGGAAGGTTTTTCACAATGTTCTGATCGGTCTCAGCGGGTCTTCTGGTTCTGATGATTCTAATGACTCTCCTTCTGTCCCGCAGGAACAAGTCGTTCATGTTCAGCGTGCTGTACGCCGCCCTGGTGTTCGGAGGTCAGCACTTCATGAAGCCTCGACCCAAACTGAACCTGCGGCTGCCGCTGGTCCTCTGGTCGCTGAGCCTGGCCGTGTTCAGGTAAGAACACCTGGAACCTGCAGCGGGTGGTGCTGCATCACCTGCTGTTGCTGCAGCAGCTCCATCTGGCCAAAGTCCATCCAGAATCAGTAGAAACCAGGCGGGACGCCACCTCCCTCCACACTGCACCCGTCTCCATAGTAACCAGGTTTTGCTTTGGGGCCCCACCCGGATTCCTGGCTGGGCGACTTAGTGCTGCTGACGCATTGCCATGGCAACGGGCCCCACACCTGCAGCTCAGGTGCGTTTTGTTTGGAGTGAGTGGAGGTGTCGGCTCACCTGGTTCAGAACAAAGGTTCCTTTCAAAGCATCTGGAGTCGGTTCTGTTGACCCAGAGGGCCAACCTGTGACCCCACCTCATTACATTAATATCAACCAGAGGTCCGGCTGGTTCTGATTCCTGCTGGGCGGGTTGGCTGTCGGACCGGTTCTGAGATCAGATGATGTCATCAGGAAGTTTCTGTGAACTCTTCGGTTCTGATGCATTCCTGGAAGCTGTGACCAGCTGCTGCTCCTGTCCTCATGGCTCTGTTTCCTGTTCTATCCTCAGCATCATCGGAGCGATCCGGACCGGGTCCTACATGCTGCACATCCTGAGCGCCAGCGGCTTCAGACGCTCCATCTGCGACCAGAGCTTCTACAACGGCCCCGTCAGCAAGTTCTGGTCCTACGCCTTCGTCCTCAGCAAGGCTCCAGAACTCGGTCAGTTGATCCTCAGTCAGAACGTAAACGGACCAGAAGATCAGGGTTCAGTTCTATGAGTGGATCGGGTCGGTTTGGGCCACTTCTAATCTGCAGGATTTAAAATGTTCTGGAAGATGAATATGAAGGGTAATCAGGTCCAAAGCAGCTGCATTAATTCTGACCATGTGACCCACATGTGGCGTGGCCACACCTCCTCCAACACTGGAGTCAACTTTTAGCTTAGCGCTTTGGCTAAATAAACGCTTAGCTTCACTTAAACCTATTTTCCCTTGACTGTTAAACTTTTAGTTAACCAAAACATCAAGTCAGACTTTTATCGACCTAGTAATTCAAATAGATTTTATATTCATGGGTATTAACATATTTTGCGCTTTACCATTAGATTAGCTTTCACTAGCTACCATATTGGAGTAGTGCATTAGCCACTATAGCATTGGCAGAATTGACGTCTGATTAGCGATTTTGGGTTAGCGCAGCTAAATTCTTGATGCCCACCACTAAGCACCATTAAAGTTGCTGAGTCATTTATGTCTTTTTGTTTTCCGTCTCCAAGGCGACACGGCGTTCGTGGTGCTCAGGAAGCAGAAGCTGCTCTTCCTCCACTGGTACCACCACATCACAGTGCTGCTCTACTCCTGGTATTCCTACAAAGACATGGTGGCCGGCGGCGGCTGGTTCATGACCATGAACTACACCGTGCACGCGCTCATGTACAGCTACTACGCCGCGCGCGCCGCCGGCTTCCGCGTGCCCCGCCCCTTCGCCGTGGTCATCACCAGCGCCCAGATCGCCCAGATGGCGATGGGGCTGACGGTGAGCGGCCTGGTGTACCGCTGGATGCAGCAGGGCGACTGTCCGTCCCGCATGGACAACATCACCTGGGCCACGCTCATGTACCTCAGCTACCTGCTGCTCTTCTGCAACTTCTTCTACCAGACCTACCTGCGCCGCGAAGCCAAGGCCAAGAGCCAGTAGGACCCGCCGCACCGGAGGGCGGCGCTGCTGAGCTGACCTGACGCTGCCGCAGCAAATGAAGGGAAACCAGCGCAGAAGACGGAGTTCATTTATGTCTGGGAAGTGAAGGAGCGTTTCAGGACCCTCTAATTCCTGACTGCAGGTCCAAAGATGGTTCCGATCTAAAGAAACAAACGTAAAGCTCAGCTGCTGAACAGAGGTCCGAAAATATTCACGATATTTTGTTTAAATTTATCAGCTTTGGACCCAGAAAATGTTCTGAACCATTATTACCTTCAGCCTCATTTCCAAAATATTTGAAATATGTAAAATATATATTTACAATCTGAACCATTAGAACCCGTCTGGTCCGATACTCTGGTTCTACTGTTTCCTGGTGAACCCATTTTGGCTGGCGAGAGGAAACCGGGTCAGAACTGGAACTTAAACTTTTACTTCTGTAAATATTTCCATCAGTTTGTCTTTAAAGTGTCAAACTTCTGATTCTGGAACCGATCCAAAAGAACCGGTTCAGATTCAGCTCAGCAACGCGCTCCTGGTTTTTAACGAGGCATGAAGGCAGCTGATTGGCTGCTGGAAGGTCACATGTCTCACGTGACTAAGCTCATCCTGTTGGGGTCTCACGTGTTGGAGCTGGTTCTGGTCGGTGTGATTGTGGAAACGGGTTGGAGTTCTGAAGGAAACCAGCAGCTGACGTCACAGCTGGTGTCCATGACGAAGACGAGATCTTCCACCAAATGATCACCTGGACGTTTTCCTGGGAGGGAAATTGGGATATTTATGGTTATTTATTGTTTAAAAATGTAATAAAATGACTTTTTCAATTTGTTCATTTTGGGGTTTTTTCTAGCTTGGTTCATATGCATGAAACAGAATCTGGTATCATTTGAAATATTTTCAGGATCTGGAGCCAAACGAGCCGCTAAACCTGATCAATACAAACCTGGCACTCAACATGCTGGGTTCTACTGCAAATCTGAATAATGAACATTTTCTCAAAAGGGTTTATTATCCAGCAGAACCGACTCAGGAGCAAAACATCCTCACTTCCACCAGAAGGAATCAATAAATCTGGTTTATCTGGACCAGCGGTGCTCGGGTCCAGCCCAGAGCCGCCGTCCTGCTCCAACACTGAGTCGGATGGTTGGTTCGTTACCAGGCCCGTCCAGAGCTGAACGGCTGCGGAGGGAATTCAGCCATTTGACCCAAACCTGATCAGGTCTCAGGTGTTTCCATGGGTTCGTGTTTAATCTGAAAACTCAGAATATAAATCTGTTTAACTTTAATGTTCCATTTTAGTGTTGTGACTGAAGGCGCAGAGCGCCCCCTGATGGAGCCAGTGGTCACTGCAGCTTCAAACCTGCAGATGTTGAATCACCAGGACTAACTTTAAATCTCTGGTCAAAAGTTTCTCTTTCAGGATTTTCCCAGTATTTTCAGAATCCTTTGAGTTCTGATGGCATGAAGTTTTAAACACATTCAGACCAAAACGGTGTTAAACTTTAAAGTTAATCCTCCTGAAGTTTTGGTTACATTCGAGTTCAAATATTTTTTTTTTAATTGTGAAATGTACTAAAAAGTTATTTGTTGTATTACTGACACTTAAATCTGTCAGAAATCTGAAATTAGTCTCAATTCATCCGTTTTGCTCAGAACATCCAATTACAATTATGAGAAAAGATTGATGCCTAAAATCTGGTCAGCAAAATGTGCACTTCATAAACCCACTGAACTGTAAATATTAACAGTTTGATTCAGAGGTGTCAAATTAAAAAGAATTATAGAATCAACCATTTATTGAAATTACATCTAGACATCACACTGCAGAGCAAAACATCCCATAATATGACATCAAATAACAGACAAATGTCATTTCAGTAGTGTGTCATTTAAGTGGATTAAAAGTTTTAATCAGTGGTTCTGATTAAACTCGGAGTCAATCAGAACCACTGATTCTAGAAATGATAATTCATGTTTCCAACTGTTTGTCTTTAAACATCTTCACCACTGTTCATTTCTTAACCATTTATTTATTTTATCTGACATTCAGGTCAAAAAGTTTCTGGTTTGTTTTTCATCCAATTAAAGATGTTTAAAGCCCATCAAAAGAAAAAAGTTCTGCAAAGTAAGCCAGGCAGTAATGATACACATTAATATGAGGTCAAATAAGATAAAGTACACCACTAGGGTAAAAACATGGTTGAAGTGAAATGGAAACACCCAGAACATGAACATCTTTCCTGCTCGTCTTCACAGGTTTTCTCTGGACCAATCAGATCATTTGCTGCTGCTTCAGCTTCTCCATGTCATCTGGTTCTTTCTTTCTCAGTGTTTTATTTGCAAGAATCACTATTTCCATCTGCAGTGGAAGAAAAGAAGAAACTGGTTATAAAAGACAGATAATCACTTCAGCAGCTGTCCTCCAGGGGGCAGTAGAGACATCAGGGAAATTCATCATTTCATTTTTATGCTAACTCCCAGCATGACTGACTTTTGGGGTTATGTTAAGAAATCTCAGGGGAATTTTATTTTGTTGTTAAATCCAGATTAATTTGCTTTTATTTAACCACTAACTGAAAAAGCAGAACTTGTATTTTACTTGAGAGTTTCCAGTCTAAAGTCTGAACTGGCTGCCAGGTCACACAGCTGCTCCACGTCTGGGTCCTTCAGCCTGTTGTCAACCAGGTCCAGTTCTGCCAGATGGGACGGGTTGGACTGCAGAGCCGAAACAAAAGACAGACAGCTGATCCCAGTCAAGCTGCAGTTCCTGAGTCTGAATAAAAAAAACATTCAATGTGTTTAAAATCACTTTATGTGTAAATACAGTAAAATAACTACTGACAAACTGTTGAGTTGATGTTGAGTTTTGGTTTTGTTCTGTTGGGTTATATTATGTTTTTATCCTGCTTTATATTATTAACTTTGTATAATATTGTTCATCTTCTCAATAATCCAACAAGCTCTGAACATGAGTTTAGTCTGTTGGTTTTTGTTCCTACATGAAATTAAATCAATTATGAGGTCTACCTGTATAAAAAACATAAAGGTCACATTTTATTTTCCTGGTATTAAATATGCAGCTGAACATTACTATAGCAATTCAATAATTAACCAGTACCCAATATAAAGACAGTAATGGTGCTTTTACTTTGAAAGTACATTTTTAGTTTTCAGAGTTTGCTTCTTAAATCCACCATGAATGAAATTACAAGAGTGTAATTTCATTAATATTAAGAATAATCTTTTTTCAACCATTTACCAGGTTAATTTGTGAGATATTTTGTAGTTTTCAACCCTTCAACTTTATTCCAATGTTGATAACAGTCCCATCTAGGATAAAGTGAATGACTAGATTCTAACATGTGTGATATATCTGCTCCACGTTAATATCATTTTTATTATATCCTGACTGAATACTTTTCACCTGAAAGAAACAGTGTGCAGACTCTCTGGCCAGGTTAAGGTTAAAGTTTGTCTTACCTCAGTGTTTGGAGTTTGCAGTAAGGACTCTGCAGAAACCCACACAGCTGCTCCACGCCTGCATCCTTCAGCCTGTTGCTGCTCAGATCCAGATGTTTCATGTAGGAGGGGTTGGACTTCAGAGCTGAGGCCAGATGTGCTCCACTGCTCTCTGATAAACTGCAGTTTATCAGCCTACATAAATCAGAACACAGGTTACATAATGTACATACTCACCCACTCACACATCTTAAATCAACAGATTATTTAACCCGTTTCTTTATGAGAGCCAGTGTCAATGAAATATAATACAAAGACTCCATGTCATCTTCTATCCACAAGCCAGAAACCATTTTCTAGACAAAATGTGTCCAACAGTGACAGCAAGCAGATATCTTTCAATAAAATGGTGCACTTTGACCCCAGCTGCAACTGATGTCTGATTATTGTTCTCTTTTGTCTAATTGTGAGTGCTTCTTTTCCGGATGGTCTCCTCCTGCCATCAATGTCTTCCTGATTGTCTGCTGTCATTTCTTGGATCAGATTTTAAGCTCAGAAAACAGAGGAGCCAGAAAAGCAGATACACGAGTCCTTCATTAAAAACTTCACCTGAAACTGTGTTTAAAGTCAAACCTGGTAAGACTTGCAAAAAAGAACCCTGTAGAAAACATAACGTATGACACGGTAGTTAAAACGACAAATAAGAGTGAAAACACAACCCCTTGTGGCAAATCTGTGGAAGAGCACATCATTTGTAATGAACAGCTACTTATTCCAGAAAATATGTCCCCAAAGACTGTTACTTAGTCAAAATGCCCCAAAACCCTCTTGACTAAAATGTGGTTTTGGTGGCTGTTGATTAAAAGCATCATCTTGTTGCCATGCCAGCCATGAATGGCTAAACTACAGGAAGCTGATATAAAAACTTTTAATCCCATAACAAACTGCATTAACCTATTTTCAGATTCAGTTAGAAAAGGAAGAGCTTTATTACATGAAAATGTGATGTCAGAGAGCCCTCTGCAGAAGGAGCCAAACTGTTCAAATGTTATTCCAGTTTGATCCCCGATAGTCCAGTTACACAAGGTTGTCTGTTTTATGGGTATTTTCATTTCCCCCAAGAAATTTGGCCTATGAAGAATTTGACTGGAAGAAATTTCAAACCCTCCTGGTTCTCTTCAAATTCTACAAAAGCATGCCACCACATTGTTGAGAGAAATTGTGGTATGACAGTAGAGCACTCATATCGTTTGGGCCTGCTCTGTCCACTACGGCAATATTGGTAAGACATAAAAAGGGAAACAGAAAAATACTGTGTTGACATCCCTAAATATTCTATAATATTTATTTAAGGAACTTTAACCAACAAGACCTGCGGTATATGCTGCACATTCTCTTGCTAGTTGCAAGGAAAAATGTAACAGCAAAGTGGAGGAAATTATCTCTAACTAAAAAAAGCATGGACACATAGATTGAAACAAGTTTCGACAATGAACCAGGTCACTGCAAACCTCTAGATGAAATGGACATTTTTCTGGGTGGACTCCAGTGATTGAATACTTAAATGTTTAATTCTGTGAAAAATACCCTGTCAAGAATTATTTGTTTGTATTTGTGCTTGTTCAATGATTTTTAATAAAAGTAAAAACAAAATTTGACTCTTGAATGGGATCGAAGGTACTGAATGTGACCGATTTCTTTTTAACAACTGTATGTAAGAATGTGTTGGTAAACATAAATTCAGCAGAATGATCAAGAATATTCTTGATTTAGATTTTAAAAACTAAGTTAAGCATTCTAACATGTTAATATACACATAATCTAAAAGCAGCAACAGACGTTAATTTATTACCTCAGATTCTCTACTCTGCAGTTTGGACTCTCTAGTCCAGCAAACAGAAGCTTCAGTCCTGAACGGGGCAAGCGGCCGTAGCTCAGGTCCAGCTCTTCAAGATGGGAGGGGTTGGACTTCAGAGCTGAAGCCACAACTTCACAGTGAGTCTCAGACAGGTCACAGAACATCAGCCTGGAGAGAGACATACATGACCCTATATCTGTCAGGGTTCAGATCATTGCTTGATTCTCTAGTTCAGTTAAACACTGAAATCTTTATTAGAAGGTGCCACCTGATCAAGAAGGTGTCTGATAACCAAGAAGCCTCTGCAGAAATTATTTCTAGTCATTTCTGTTGTCTAAGCAACAATTTTCAAAAGGTTTTTTGATTTCTCCAACTAAACATGACATTTTTTCTAAATACCAGCTGAAAAGTCTGACACATGAAAACCTTAGGGATGCTGATGTTCTGACCGCACTAACAGTTTGTTCTTATCTGACTCATTAGCAGTTTATAATAACTGAACAGTAAATTAATTTATTATTCAGACCACAACTCCTATGTGCTGTGGTATTCTGGGGTTTCAGGGTTTTTGACTCACACAAACTTCCTACAGTTCCTCACAGCTGGGATGAGTCTGCGCCGTCCTTCCTCTGAGGTGTTGTACCTCACTAGCTCCATTTCATCTAGAACCTCTTCTGACATCTGCAGAATGGAGGCCAGAGCTGAGCAATGGAGCTCAGAAAGTTCACACTTTGATTTGTTCTTTGACTTCAGGAACTCTTGGATCTCCTGATAAACTGAATGGTCCTCCATTTCCACCAGACAGTAAAAGATGTTGATGCCTTTGTCTGGAGAAATGTCTTTAGAGCTTGTCTTCTTCAAGTTGTTGATGACTCTCTGTATGACATCTGGACTGGTCTTAGTCTGAGCCACCAGGCCTGCCAAAAGTCTCTGGTTACAAGGCAAAGCGAGGCCATGAAGGAAACGAACAAACAAATCCATGTGGCCATTCATGGTTTTTAGGGATCTCCTCAGAACTTGATCCAGAAACAGATCTATAGATTGACTAGGACAATCACTGATTCTAGAACTTGATGATGGATTTGAGTTGCTGGGTTTTCCTTTTTTGATGTCATCCAGGAAGTTCTCCATCACCTCTGAGTTCCTGCTGGTGAAACAGTGGAACATGTAAACTGCAGCCATAAACTCCTGGATGCTCAGGT